GGTGAGCTTCCCAGCCGGCTTCCGAAAAGCGAAATCAATGGGGGCAAACCCGCAGGGAAGGTCTCAAGTCATGGTAACACGATGTCTCGCTTTAACAACAAACTGTGCCCACGGTGGTCGTAAGTCGAGGACAACCCACAATGGATTTGGAACGCCTTCAAAAGAAAGGAAGAATGAATGGTGGCTTGGTCAGCAAATATTTGGCAAGGTGCGACCATCGCTTCATCGGGAGCCCGCTCTGCGCGGCGGCCGCCAATAAAAGCCAAGACGATCCTTGGTTGCATAAACACGGAATCAAAATCACAGGAAGTCTTGGTACCGCTTTGTAAAGGCTTAGTAAGGCCACACCTGGAAAAACTGGATCCCGTTTTGGTCCCCACGTTACAAAAAAGGATGTTGAGACTTTGGAAAAAGTGCAGAGAAGAGCAACTAAGAGGATTAAAGGCCTGGAGATAATGACATATTAAGATCGGTTGCAGGATTTGGGTGTGGCCAGTCTAGAGAAAAGAAGGACTGGGATGGGGGGGGGTGACATGATAGCGGTCTTTCAGTATTTGAGGGGCTGCCACAAAGAGGAGGGGTCTCAATTTATTTTCCAAAGCAAAGGAGAACGGAGTGGACGATCATTTGTCTCAAATGGTATAGGGCCGTGATGGCGAACCTATGGCACGCGTGCCACAGGTGGCACACAGAGTCATATTATCTGGCACACCAGCTCAGCTCTGTCAGCTGATTTTCGGCCCTTTTGGGCCCACCAGAAATGGGCCTGGGGGGGGGGCAGGGGAAGGCCCATTTTTTCTTTCTCCCTGGCTCCAGATCCTCTCTATGCATCTGGGGAGGGTGAAAACAGCCTTCCCCACCCCCTCGGAGGCCCGAGACGGCCCGTTTCTCAACTTCCGGCCTCTGAGGGGGTGGGGAAGGCTGTTTTCGCCCTCCCCAGATGCATAGAAAGGATCTGGAGTCAGGTGAGAAAGAAAAATGGGCCTACCAGGCCATTGTGTGCCAGGAGTGGGGGGGTGGGGGAAAGGGGGGTCGCGCTCGCATGTGCGTGGCGGGGCACATAGAATTATGGGTGTGGGCACATGCACGGGCAAACCTCCCCCACCCCACCCCTTCCTGGCACGCGATGGCAAAAAGGTTAGCCATCACTGGTATAAAGCAATGATGGGTAACCTTTTTCCCATCGTGTGCCAAAGTGGAGGGAACCACAGGGGGGGGTCATGCATGCGTGTGCCCACATCCATAATTCAATGCGCCTCGCAAATGCGCGCAACCCCCCCCCACTTCCCCCGCTTTTGGCACGTGATGGCACGGTGGGCCCATTTTCGCTCTCCATAAGCTCCAGAGGCTTTCTAGAGAGACTGAGGCAGCCGAAAACAGCCTTCCCGACAACCCCGGAGGCCGGAAACAGCCCGTTTCCCGACTTCCGGTGGGCCCAGAAGGCTTGTTTTTCTCCCTCCCCAGCCTCCAGAGCCTTTCTAGAAGCCTGGGGAGGGCGAAACAGCCTTCCCCACCCCCGGAGGCCGGAGGCCGGAAACAGCCCGGTTCCCAACTCCAGTGGTTCCAGAAGGCCTTCGCCAGCCTCCGGCCCTAGAAGCCGGGAAACAGCTTCCACCCCACCCCGGAGGCCCTCTGGAGGCCAGCAGCCCATTTCCCGACTTCGGTGGGCCCGGAAGGCCCGTTTTCCCAGCCTTTCTTGGGGCGCGAAAACAGCCTCCCCTCCCACCCCGCGAGGCCCTCTGGAGGCCGGAGCCCATTTCCGACTTCCAGTGGGCCCAGAGGCCCGTTTTTCGCCCTCCCCAGCCTCCGGAGCCTTTCTAGAAGCCTGGGGAGGGCGAAAACAGCCTTCCCCACCCCCACCCGCCGGAGGCCCTCTGGAGGCCGGAAACAGCCCATTTCCCGACTTCCAGTGGGCCCAGAATGCCCGTTTTTCGCCCTCCCCAGCTCCGGAGAGAAGCCTGGGGAGGGGAAACAGCTTTCCCCACCCCACCCGCCAGAGGCCCTCTGGAGGCCAGAACAGCCATTTCCCGACTTCCGATGGGCCCAGAAGGCCCGAAAATCAGCTGACCAGCGCGCGCATGTTTGCTGGAGCTGAGCTAGAGCAATGCTCATGTGCCCACAGATATGGCTCCGCGTGCCACCTGTGGCACGCGTGCCATAGGTTCGCCATCATGGGTATAGGCAGTGGTGGGATTCAGCCGGTTCGCACCAGTTCGGGAGAACCGGTTGTTAACTTTCTGAGCAGTTTGGTGAGCTGGTTGTTGGAAGAAATCATTAGGGCAGAGAACCAGTTGTTAAATTATTTGAATCCCACCACTGGGTATAGGATCTCCTGCTTGAGCAGGGGGTTGGACTAGAAGACCTCCAAGGTCCCTTCCAGCTCTATTCTAATTCATTGATTGATTGATTGACATGATAGCAGTATACCAGTATATGAGGGGCTGCCCCCAAAGAAGAAGGGGGGGGATCATATTATTTTCCCAAAGCACCAGAGGGGAAGACAAGAAACGACAGATGGAAACTCATCAAGGAGAGAGAAGCAACCTGGAATCAAGGAGAAACTTCCTAACAGTGAGGACAATTCACCGGTGGAACAGCTTGCCACCAGAAGCTGTGGCTGCTCCATCACTGGAGGCTTTTAAGAAAAGACTGGACAGCCATTTGTCTGAAATGGGATAGGGTCTCCTGCTTGAGCAGGGGGTTGGACTAGAAGACCTCTAAGGTCCCTTCCAACTCTATTCTGATTGAATTGATTGATTGATTGACAGGATAGCAGGATTCCAGTATTCGAGGGGTTGCCCCAAGAAGAGGGGTCCACCTATTTTCCAAAGCATCAGAAGGCAGGACAAGAACAATGGATGGAAACTAACCAAGGAGAGAAGCAACCTGGAATTAAGGAGAAATTTCCTAACAGTGAGGACCATTAACCAGTGGAACAGCTTGCCACCAGAGGTTGTGGCTGCTCCATCACTGGAGGTCTAGAAGACCTCCAAGGTCCCTTCCCCGCTCTGTTCTGACTGATTGTGGTTCGTTGGAACAGCCCGTCGTCTTTCCAGGCTGCGAGAGAATTCATATCCAAAGGGCGTCTACTTTTGATCCGTGACCCTCCGTTCCAAGAATTTCATGCGTGTTTTAACAAGTTCTGAATCCTGCTGCCGTTTTATTGTTTTGCTGATTTTCCTTCTCTCCCGTTTCCCGGTTGGAGAAACTCGGCGGTTTTTCCTTACACGTTCATTGCAAAGAGGATTTTGACCGAGCTGGTTCCCATCGGAAAGATTTAAACTACGGTTCCCATTTCTTGCCGGGGATGAGGGGTCTGGAGATCCATGCCTTTGAAGGTCGGGGGTGGGGTGGGGGAGAAGAGTGAGCCTGGCGAAAGGACCATTAATCAAGACTCACAAACGATGCATACTTATGACAGTTTGTTTAGGGACCGTTTGAGGTGGCTCAGTGGCTAAGACGCTGAGCTGGTTAGCAGTTCGGCGGTTCGAATCCCTAGTACAGCTCTCCTGCGTGATTAGGGGGTTGGACTGGATGACCTCCAAGGCCCCTTCCAACTCTGTTACTGTTATTATTATACAAGTCACAACATCACTCAAAAAAGTGACTTATGACTGTTTTTCACACTTACGACCATTGCAGTCACATGATCAAAATTCGGACGTTTGGCCACTGACTCATATTTGCGACGGTCTTAGCGTCCTGGCGGGGGTCACACGATCCCCTTTTGCGACCTTTCGACGAGCCAAGTCCACGGGGAGCCGGATTCACTTAACAACCATGTGACTAACTTATCAACAGCAGTGATTCGCTTAACAACGGTGGCAAGGTAGGTCGTAAAGCGGGGGAAAATTCACTTAACCAAGGTCTCACTTAACAACAGAAACATTAGGCTCCATTTAATTTAATTTAATTTAATTCATTCAATTTATATGCTGCCCCTCTCCGAAAACTCAGGGCAGTCCATGGTGGTCGTAAAGCGAGGACTAGCTGTATTCACAAGTCCTTAATTTTGTTCCAAGATTTTTCTCCTCCTTCCTGAACAACTGAAGCCAAATGCAGTTGAGGTAGTCCTCGACTTATGACCATTCTCGGAACCTGAATTTCTGTTGCTAAGCAAGCAGTTTTCACCCATTTTGGCCAGCTTTTTGCCCTGGTTGTTAAGTGAATCGCTGGAGTTGTTAAGCGAATCAGGTGGTCGTTAAGCAAATTTGGCTTCCAACATTGGCTTCGCTTATTGGAAGTCAGCTGGGAAGATTGCAGATGACAATCCTGTCACTCTGGGACGCTCTAGCCATCGTAACTACAGGCAGTCCTCGACTTACAACAGTTCGTTTAGTGACCGTTCGAAACGGCACTGAAAAAAGCAACTTAGGGCCATTTTTCACACTTATGACCTTTGCAGCCTCCCCAGGGTCACGTGATCAAAATTCAGACACTTGGCCACCGACTCACATTTAAGACGGTCGTAGAGTCCCGGAGTCACGCGATCCCCTTTTTGCGACCTTCTGACGAGCCAAGCCAATGGGGGGGAAGGCAGATTCACTTAACGACCGTGTCCCTAACTTAACGATGACAGCGATTCACTTAACAAATGCGGCACGCAAAGTCCTAACGTGGTTCAACTCTCACTTAACAACGGTTTCCCTTAGCGACCTATTTTTGGGGGGGTGTCATAAATCGAGGACTATCTATTAAAGACCAGTAAGCCAGAAGGAAAAGACACACACCGGTGGCATCATTCGCAGGGGCAAAACTCACCAAACAGCTGTCTTGCTTAAGGACAGAAATTAGTGGTCGTAAGTCCGAGACTACCCGGTCTGGCTAAAATCGGAAAGTTAAACAGTCTTGTTTGCTGGAAATCTCTCCTTGGATCAACCCGCCATGCAGACGCCAGGAAGGGGGGGGGATCATCAGCACCCCCGTTAAAATGGGGTTCGGCTTAGATTCACCCCAAAAGCCACCCAGCTCCCTTCCCTTCCCTTCCACCCTTTCCTTACCTGCTTTTCTGCATTCAGACCAGCCGATCTAGCGGGCCTCTTTCCTCTAGAGACGGCCCGGATCTGGCGGAACCCTTCGCTAAATCCGTGCAAAGGATCTAGGATCTTTCGGAAGCCTTGCTTGATTTTGCCCCAGTGGCTGGAATGGAACAAGGGATCCTCTGCGTTTCTCCTTCTTCTCCTTTTCCTTTCCTTTCCTTCCTTCTTTCCTTCTTTCTTTCCTTCCTTCCTTCCTTCCTTCCTTCCCTTCCTTCCTTCCCTTCTTCCCTTCTTTTCTTTTCTTTCTTCTTTTCTTCCCTTCCCTTCCCTTTTCTTCCCTTTCCTACTTTCTTTCCTACTTTCTTTCCTATTCTTTCCTTCTTCTCTTCTTTTCCTTCTTCCTTCTTTTCTTTCGTTCTTTTCTTCCCTTCCCTTTTCTACTTTCTTTCCTACTTTCTTTCCTACTCTTTCCTTCTTCCCTTCTTTTCCTTCTTCCTTCTTCTTTTCTTCCCTTCCCTTTTTTCCCTTTCTACTTTCTTTCCTACCCTTTCTTTCCTTCCCTTCCCTTCTTTCCTTCTTTTCCTTCTTCCTTCTTTTCTTTCCTTCTTTTCCTTCCCTTTTCTACTTTCTTTCCTACCCCTTTCTTTCTTCCTTCCTCCCTTCTTTTCCTCCTTCCTCTTCTCTTCCTTTCTTCCTTTCTTTTCTTTCCGTGGTTCCCGCGGCTGGCCGCTTCTCGGACGGAAAGCCACACACCGTCGCTTCGGTCCAAAGTTGAAATCTGATGCTCTCGCAACGCTCTTGTGTGTGTGTGTGTGTGTGTATGCCCGCGCACACAAAAACACACACACGCGCGCCTACGGAACGAGACACCCGCAACAGCCCGATTCAAACTCAAGGCGAAGTTCAGCTGGGGAGGGAGGGGGGGGGGCAGAGGGAAGGAGACGTGAGTGGCAGGCAGAGGTGGCCAACCTCTGGGGAAGGCTGCCTATGAACCAGCCAATGGGGAGCTGCCCATTGGTGGGAGGGATTTAAGGGGGAGTGGGGAGGGGGAAGAAGAAGGGAAAGTCGCCCCCCCGGCCCCCCCACCCACGATCCAGTACACGAAGATGCCTCCCCCACGCGTCTCCCACCCACCCACCACCCACCCACCAGACAGCTGCCGGGCTGGTGTTAGGGAAAGGGGTCGCCTAAGCAGTTTGGGACGCGGAGGACCAGGTCCCATGGTTCCCATCCAGCGGGGATGGCCGAGGGAGGGAAGGACCGGTTGCTTTCGCCCCGTTTTTTCGGCTTTTTTAAAAAGAAAGAAAAAAGAAATCGTAATAGTGATAATTGAAGCCGTTTCTGGTTTCCTAAGGGGGGAAGCGGAGGGGTTTCGGAGAAAGGGAAGGGGAAAGGAAAGGAAAGGGAAGGGAAGGGAAGGGAAGGGAAAGGAAAGAAGGAAGGAAGGGAAGGAAGGGAAAGGGAAAGGGAAAGAAGGAAGGAAGGAAAGAAGGGAAGGGAGGGAAGGGAAAGGAAAGGAAAGAAGGAAAAGGAAAAGGAAAGGAAAGGGAAGGGAAGGGAAAGGAAAGGAAAAGGAAAGGAAAGGAAGGAGGGAAGGAAGGGAAGGAAGGGAAAGGAAAGAAGGAAAGGAAGGAAGAAAGGAAAGGGAAGGGAAAGGAAAGGAAAGGAAGGAAGGGAAGGGAAGGGAAAAGGAAGGAAGGGAAGGGAAGGAAAGGAAAGGAAAGGAAAGGAAAGGAAAGGAAAGGAAAGGAAGGGAAAGCGGAAAGGGAAAGGGAGGCAAAGAGAAAGGGGAAGGGTATGGGAAAGGGGAAGGAAAAAGGAAGGGGAGAAGGAAGAGAATGGGGCTAAGAAATGGAGAGAAGAACTAAAGGGAAGGAAGGGAGAGAGAGAAGGGAGGGAAGGGAAAGGAGAAAAAAGGAAGGGGAAGAAGAGAGAAAGGAAGAGAAAGGAAGGAAAAGGAGGAAGGAAGGATAAATGGGGGAAGGAAGGAAGAAAGGAAAAAGAAAGAAAGGAAAGAAGGAAAGGGAAAGGAAGGAAAGGAGAAGGAAGGAAGGAAAAAGGGGAAAGAAAAAAGGGAGGGAGGGAGAGGAAAGAAAGAAAGAAAGAAAAAGAAAGAAAGAAAAAGAAAAAGACAGACAGAAAGACAAACAGAAGAAAGAAAGAAAAAAGAGAGAGAGAAAGAAAAGAAAGAAAGAAAAAGACAGACAGAACAAAAGAAAAAAAGAAAGAAAAGACAGACAGAAAGAAAAAGAAAAAGACAGACAGAAAGACAAACAGACAGACAGAAAGAAAAAGAGAAAGAAAAAGAATAAAAAGAAAAAGACAGAGACAGAAAGACAGACAAAAAGAAAAAGAAAAAGAGAAAGAAAAAGAAAAAGAAAGAAAAAGCAGCAGAAAAGAAAAAGAAAGAAAAAGAAAAAGACAGAGAAAGAAAAAGAAAAAGGAAGAGAAAGAAAAAAGACAGAAAGAAAAAGAAAGAAAGAAAGAAAGAAAAAGAAAGGAGAGAGAGAGAAAGAAAGAAAGAAAGAAAAAGGCCACTCTCTCTTGGGAGCCCCTCCCCGCCCTCCGCTCCACTTTTCCCCCTCGGCGTTTTCTTAGCAGCGGCCGCCGCAGCAACAGAGCCGGCCGAGCGCCGCTTCGAGGCCGCCTGACCCTTTTGCTCTTCCGCCCCGTCCCTCGCCTCCCCTCCCCTCCCCTTTGGCAGGAGCCCGGGCTCTTTTGGCCCCTAGGAAAGCAACCGGGGCATCTGAGCATCGGCAGAGTGCCTCTTCCCTTCCTCCCCTCTCCTTTCTTTACTTTCCCCCCTTCCCTTCTTCATCCATTGACTTCCTTTCCTTTCCTTTCCTTCATCTATTATTCTCTCTCCTCTCTGTCCCCTCCCCCTCCTCCTCCTTTTCCGGCTCTTCTCCTTCGTCCATTTACCTTCCTTCCTTCTTATTTCCTTCTTTCTTCCCTCTCTCCCTCCCTCTCCTCCTCTTCCTCTCCTTCTTCATCCTTTTCTTTCTTCCTTCTTCCTTCCCTCTTCCCTCTCTCCTGTCCCCTCCCCCTCTTCCTCCTTTTCCTGCTCTTCTCCTTCATCCATTTACCTTCCTTCCTTCTTTCTTTCCTCTCTCTCCCTCCCTCTCCTCCTCTTCCTCTCCTTCTCCTCCTCCTTTTCTTTCTTTCTTCTTCTTTCCTTCTTCTCTCTTCCCTCTCTCCTGTCCCCTCCCCCTCTTCCTCCTTTTCCTGCTCTTCTCCTTCGTCCATTTACCTTCCTTCCTTCTTATTTCCTTCTTTCTTCCCTCTCTCCCTTCCCTCTCCTCCTCTTCCTCTCCTTCATCTTTTTCTTTCTTTCTTTTCTTTTTTCTTTCTTTCTTCTTTTTCTTTCTTTTCTTTCTTTCTTTCTTTCCTTTCTCTTTTTTTCTTTCTTCCCTCTCTCCCCTCTTCCTCTCCTTCATGTATTTTCCTTCTTCCTTCCTTCTTTCTTTCCTTCTTCTTCCCTCTCTCCCCTCCCTCTCCTCCTCTTCCTCCTTCTTCCTCCTTTTCTTCCTTCCTTCTTCCTTCCCTCTCTCCTGTCCCCTCCCTCTCTTCCTCCTTTTCCTGCTCTTCTTCTTCATCCATTTACCTTCCTTCCTTCTTATTTCCTTCTTTCTTCCTCTCTCCCTTCCCTCTCCTCCTCTTCCTCTTCTTCATCCCTTTCTTTCTTTCTTTCTTTCTTCTTTCTTTCTTTTCTTTCTTTCTTTCTTTCTTTCTTTCTTTCTTTCTTCCTCTCTCCTCTTTCCTCTCCTTCATCCATTTTCATTCCTTCCTTCCTTCTCCCCTCCTCCCTCCCCTCCCCTCTCCTCTCCTTTATCCATTTCTCCCTTCCTTCTTCCCTTCCCTTCCTTGTAACAATGAGCAGGATGGTCTCCCTAGCCAGACCCCAGCTGGTCAGTGCTGGGGAGCATGGAGGTTGCAATCCGAGGCTCTTGGCAGGCCCAGCTTGCGTGACGTGTATCCCTGCTCCCCAACCTCTGCCGGGCTGTTTGACTGACATGGAAGGCAATTTCCTCTCCTCCAGAGCTTTGATTGGCAGGCCTCTCAGCCACAGGTGAGATGTACGTTTGTAAGAAGGTGGCCTGTTCATCCAACATTTACTCATGGCAGGTGAGATTCCTTTTCCTGGGAAGTGAACCTGGTGCCTTCCTTTAGGACTCTCCCCACAATAACAAACTAAGGCTCCAATTCAACTAATACCACTCTATAAAGCCTTAGTAAGCCCACACCTAGAGTAGTGCATCCAGTTTTCGTCACTGCACTATAAAAAAGATGTTGAGACTCTGGAAAGAGTGCAGAGAAGAGCAACCAGGATGATGAGGGGACTGGAGGCTAAAACATACGATGAACGGTTGCAGGAACTGGGCATGGCTTGTTTAGTGAAGAGGAGGACCAGGGGAGACATGATAGCAGTTATTCCAATATTTGAGGGGCTGCCACAGAGAGGAGGGGGGGGGTCAAACTATTTTCCAAAGCATCCAAAGGCCAGACAAGGAATCATGGATGGAAACTGATCAAGGAGAAATTCAACCTAGAAATAAGGAGAAATTTTCCGACAGCGAGAACAATCAACCCATGGAACAGAAGTTGCCTTCAGAAGTTGTGGGAGCTTCATCACTGGAAGCTTTCGAGAACAGACCGGACTGCCATCGGTCAGAAATGGTGTAGGGTGTCCTACTAAGGCGGGGGGTTGGACTAGATGACCTACAAGGTCCCTCCCAACTCTGTTATTCTGTAAAAACCAGAAAGTCCTGAAAAAAAGCACCTTTGGGACCACCGTAACTGGATACTTGAGAACGTCCATAGACCTTGTACAGAAAAATGGCACTGATAAACGATAAAAGGTGGAATAAATACATAACTGATGATTTCTTGCTAAGGGAGCCTGGCACCCTGCAAGGAAATCCAGCTTTTTCTTGTCAGCGGACTTCGGACCGGTCCCATCTGGGTTGCCACGGACGAGTCAGCTGTTATCGAGTTGAGTCAATTGCCGTCATTGACTTGATACGAGCGACGTTAGTGGCACCATTGGAAAGGCACAAAAAGAGGCATTAAATCATATTGGTTGCATTATTGGTTGCCTCATTTAACACAAGCCAGGTAATGGATGGAAGAGTTGTCAATTGTGTCATTGATGGAAAACTGGAGTGGGGGGAGGGGAGGTGAAAAGGCCACAATAGCATCTACAAC